CCAGATTTCTGGGGGTAGCTCGTTCCAAAGGGTTGGAGTAGCCACAGAGAAGGCTCTCCTCCGGGGAGCCGCCAGCCGGCATTGTCTCATTAAATAAATAAATAAAAATTCTCAGATTTTAAAGTAAACCATATCAATGAATTTTACTTATTTTATACCACAACCAAGACAAAACCCTCAAAGTACATGGCATTCATAGAAGACTTAAAGACTCTAAATATCACATGAGAAGATACTAAAGTTTTCGCCCAAGACCAAAAATGCTGAAGATCCTTACTGCCCGATATGTTATCTCGTATGGGAGGATCTAATGCTAATCCCAACTTTAATATTTTTATAAATACCTCAAGGCAGCCAACATAGCTAATACTCCTTCCTTCTCCTGGTTTCTCACAGCAATAATCCTGTGAGGTGAATAGGGCTGACAGAGCATGACTTCCCGAAAGACACCAATCCAGCTTTCATGCCTAAGGTAGGACTAGAATTCAGTGACCTGGTTTCTAGCCTGATGCCTTAACCACTAGACCAATCTGATTCTATAGTTGACCATTTCTATTAATAAAGCAAAGTTTCACTTAAATAAAAAATATAATGCATACTTTAATATCACTGTTTACATGGTAAACAAACATTATGTATTATTAATATTCTTTGAATAACCCTTGCAATGACAAGCCCACCAAACCATCTTTGTAATGTTGCCAGTCTTGTTTATATACAAACCCCCAAATTTGCAGAGGTCTACAATATTTTGCCCATACAGCTTGTTGATACATATTGCACAAAGATATCCCCAAATATTCCAAGCAGCAATGTAAAATGTTCTATATGAAGTGAGGTCTCTTGAGAGTTCTGTATTTGGGTAACTATTATCCAATATATTCATTAACGACAAAGGAAATGGAGTAGAAGGAACACTTATCAATTTTGCAAATGACAGCAAAGTAGGGAGACTGGCTAATATTTCAGAAGGTAAAATTACAATATGAACTGAAGCCAGACATTGGCCCAAATTGAAAAAAATGAGGGTTCAATTGTGGTAACAGCAAGCTCTTCCTCATGAACAAGACAAATCAAATGCCTATAGGTACAGCATTAATAGCCTTGGTGATACTTTATGAGAAGAATTTCAAAATTCTAATAGATTGTAGCTCTTTCAACTGGCAATCATCCATTTTAAACTTTAACCTTTCTCACTCTTAGTATTCCTGCTCAGTTATTGAATTACATTTCCTATCTATTTCCATTTTGCTTCTCTGTGTGTCAGTGAGCTCACAACTCACAACTCTTTAAAGCTTTTTGCATCCTTTATTTTCATTAGGATAGTTTTGCGTCTGGTTTCAATAATTCATTTTTCATTCTCTATCAGGTGTAGTCTTCAACTTGTTTATCAACTCTTGCCTGAATTTTTAAAAAAATCTGTCTTCCTCAAACTGTAGATAATTGGAAGAAAACATCTTGATGTCATTAAATGAACTGTGTGCGTGCTTGGGGGGAAGAAGAAAGAGAGAGCAATTATAATGAACCCAAGTTTAAAAACCTGACATCCATTTTCTCACTATATTATATTTAAGTTATGAATTATAACCATCTAATTTCAATTTTATCACAGGGAAAAATCAAGATCAATTTCAAAATGCAATTACAGCATCTTATGCAATGTCATTAAAGTAAAAAAAATAGTTGGGTCATTTTAGGCCATTAAAAATTTCCTAGCAAACAAATGATCAATTATTCATGAAGCTCATCTTGAAAATTTCGTTTCACCCAGATGCTGTGAATTTTACTTCAGGAATAAAACACATTTATAACTGTGAAGCTAATGAGGAATGGGGATAGCACTGAAAACAGCAGGAGATGCAGAGTTTGCAATAAGAAAAAAACTCACAAGAGAGCTGACAAATATTAGAGGGGATTAACTTGGAAAATATACTTTTAAAGAAAATAATGTACAATCCAATTATTTGTTTTTATTCAAGTTGCTCTTGGCTTCTGCTTTACAGGAGAATTCCAATATATCATCTTTTATGTTAAAGACATAAACTGAATAGTTGTTAATCGGGTGATAAAAATATCTAAAGACATAATTATTAGTACTAATTCAGTTCAAAAGATCTGGCTGAAAATAAATATCATGATTCTATGCCGGAGTGTAGAAGGGAGATTTAACCTAGAACTCATTCCATAACTTCTCTTGGATGCTAGACAATGGTGCTATGGCATCTTTATGAGAAGTGAGAAGTATTAGATACAAAAATGCAGATATTTTCCATATGCTCCATTGCTAAGGTAGAGTTCCATCTAATCATTGTTTTCAATAATTAATGTTACTAATTCAACAATGAAGTGGCAGAATCTGCATTTGGAAATAACAAATATAATAAAAACAAAGTAATGTTTTAAAAGTGCCAATTATATTTCAGATTACTTGAATATTCCTTCATACATATCTTTTCAGAATAGCCCATAGAAGAGGCCGTCCCGACAAAAGCGCGCACGACAAAAGCGTGTTGCAAAAACCGCGACGTCATCAACGTGCTGACAACAGCGCGCCGACAACAGCGCGGAGACAGAAGGGTGCTTTACAACAGCGCATCGACAGAAAGCCCATTTAACTTAAGGTAAGGGTTAGGTTTAGGGTTAGGGTTAGGTTTAGGGTTAGCGTTATGTTTAGGGTTAGGGTTAGGTTTAGTTTTACAGTGCGCTTCTATCGCCGCGCTGTTGTCGGCGTGATTCAGCGCTCATTCGTCGGAGCACTTTAGAACTTGCGGTTTTGTCATGGTTTAATCAGGCGCGGTTTTGTCATTCACCCTTTTGTCAGTGAACCAAAGAGGCAAGCCATCATAAGAAATCATCATTAAATGAAGAGGCTAACATAATTGTAAACATGCATGCATTTCAATTTATATTCCACTCTTTATTCAGGTATCAATGGCATATATAGTATTTCATCCCTCAATTTCTACCGCAAATTATAGCTTTGTGATATAGATTGGTGGTAGGGGAAGTTAGTTTAATCACTAAACCATGCAGGTTTTTTTAATTTTTAATTTACAAATGAGTCTCATTAGATCCAGTTCCCATCCTTTCAAGACTGGAATTATATAAGCAACTCTATAAGGTATGTCAGATTAACAAATGAATGTCAGAATGTAAGGCACACTAGTGTGGGTTATTGATGTCAATTTCCACACACTATTTACTGATTTATAGCATCAAATAATCAACCTTAGTACTCAGGTAATTCACTGTAACCTAAAAACTAAGCAGCCTTATGGAAATACTAACATGTTTAGGTTGCCCAAAACAATGTGATATTACTTGCCATATAAATAGGAGTAAAGCTCAATATAATCACCTCACAATTTTATGTCTCTTTCCTTAAAGTGAAGAATACTGGCTCATTTAATTTATTTACCAAAGTATATTCCAAGGGAATAAATCCTGGATATCTTAGGTGTGTTATATTGTCCAGAATTTGAATTATTTGAGACCATTAACAGAAGCTGTGAGAACATAGATAAGAGTCATATTGGAAGGAGAAATAATTAAGAGTAGAGGTGACAGGATTAAGATACATTCATAACTTTGATCATAATCTAGTTATTATGCAAGCATAATACTTTCTTCTTAGAAAATAGTATTTATCTCTATACACATTTTCAATAAGTTTAATAATTTTAAAGTTATTCAAGTATAATTTCAGAAATTTATTTTAACAGACATTACTTCCAGATAAGAGTGTTCAAGATTGCAACTTGAATAATAAATACTACTCACTGTGAAAATTATCTTCCAAGTATATTTTACATAAAGTTTTAAAAACCTTTTACAATATGAAATAAAACCACAAAAAGTATGATACGTGAGTGGTGTTAATTTTTTTAAAAAGTTTCTAGAACAAAAATTAAAAATAGGGGCCTTCTACCAAGTATATCCCCTACACTAGAAAGATTTTGCATACATAACATTTTTGATGAAAATGACAGTTCAAAAATCAACTATTTAGCACTATATTTTTCTAACAAGTACAATTATTCATTACTGGAACATGATGTAATATGGAAATTTTCTTACCTTGAATTGGTTTTGTATGCTCTTGGATTTCACAGCGAGAAGTTCCTGTAGCTACATCCCAAACAATTATTTTTCCACTAGCATCAGCAGTAGCCAAACGCAAAGCATAAGGTGATCCAATATTGTGATGGTAGTTTTCTTTAGCCCATTTAACCTTAAGACAGATAAGTAAAGCTAGTAGTCATTTAAGACACTTAAAATCATTTATTTTTGGATCTCAGATAGTGAAGTTCATTACAAATTGAAAGAGACTGGTTTATGCCATTGATAGATTTTTAATGCGGAAAATATAATAAATTGAAAAATAAAATAAATTGAATATAAAAATATTGCTTTTTAAAAATATTGACTAGGCACAAATGTGATCTATATCAGTTCTCAACTCAGAAGCCTGCTAAAATTTGTTTTTTAAAAAAAATATTTCTATAACTTTCTTTCTTGCCAAATAATCCACGGTTTATGTATATTGTAAAACTACATAATGTTTATCTATTGGAAAACAGAAATCTAAAGAATGGAAACAAAGTATCATGTTTGAATGGAGTGGCTGACTAGCATTGAGAATACTCCTCTAAAGAAATCAGTACTTAATTAAAATACAATTAAAAGTAAATGGCAAATGTGGTTAAAATTTCATAAATCATTGAACTGAATGAACTAAATCACTGAATTTTGCTGGTATAAGAACCCTTCTTTTACAGCATTCTAATGATTCTTTTCAATGTACCTTGACTACAGTAGCCTTGTGCTTTTCCAAAACCTGTAAGGTCTGAGCAGTTTTGGAGTCAATCACCAGAATAAGAGAATGGCATCCATATGCAATCAGTCCTTGCCAGCCCCTACATAAACAGTAATTTTAATATTAAATACACACAAAAAATCATTTTGCTGAATCTTCATAGAAATGTATGTTGCTGAAATGGCAGAATAGACAAATAAAAGAAATATACTTATTTGTTATTAAAACGATGAATCATGAATCATTTGTATGTACACTGACAGCTTATGCACCGGAGATAAATCTCTTGTGTATCCAATCACACTTGGCCAATAAAGAATATTGTATTGTATTGTATTTAGTTCTTGGATAACTCTTAATGTCTTTCAATTACATCTTTTCTAGTTTCAGAAAACATCCTGCTAAATAACTGGAACAGTATATAAGCTATAGTTCTTATTCATCAACATTCTTCAAGTAATAATATCTTATACCATTTGCTTCATGGCAATTGAATGAAATCTTTTCTTTCTCCACCATGTTAACATATTTCACTATACTGTACTTTAACCAATGGTTACCATTTTTTCAAAATTTCATAACTGGTCTCATCAAACATAATGCCAACTATTTTAGAACCCCTAAACCAGTTCTTGTAATATCCTATCCAAAGTCTCCTTTCCTCTTTCACTTTTAATTGCAAGACTTACAAACTTAAAGGTACTGTTATTCTTATAAAGGCATTTTTAAGGTATCTTAAATTCTTGTGCAGAATTTAAGCAGGCTTATACACGAAGCAAACTAAAAAAAATACTATAAACATACATATATGTATATATAAATAAAGCAGTACATTTGTGCATCAATATTAGGAATGAACCTATATGATAACAATGTAGTTGTTTTGAGTTGACATAGTTTCTAATTTTTCTTTTGTTTTTATCTCTTGTTGATATGCAGTTACCAAAATCTGGGTTGGGATAATATATATTAGAAATAAGTATGAAATAAATAAGTAAATACCATGCATTATCATTATCAAATATTATGCATTATCATTAACATTGCGTTAGTTTTCACCAAGAATTTCAAGCCTATCTCACAGGCTTCGTTATTAGACTGCTATATAAATATGACGCCAACCAGAAAGGAACTATATAATAGTAAAAATAACAAAACTTTGCTGAAGGGCAATATCTCCTCCCCTAGATTTTGATCTAACTTTCAGCTGCCATTCCACATTTCTCTTGTTTTCAAGCCAAAAATATAGGACGCTTTTTCTTTTTTCCTACACATGGAAAACTTCTAACAGAACTAATGTAGGTGTCGCTGGTTTTCCTCACTGTCTCTTCAGTGTGCTATGTTATTTAATAGCAATAGCAATAGCAGTTAGACTTATATACCGCTTCATAGGGCTTTCAGCCCTCTCTAAGCGGTTTACAGAGTCAGCATATTGCCCCCAACAACAATCCGGGTCCTCATTTTACCCACCTCGGAAGGATGGAAGGCTGAGTCAACCCTGAGCCGGTGGGATTTGAACAGCTGAACTGCAGAACTGCAGTCAGCTGAAGTAGCCTGCAGTGCTGCATTTAACCACTGCGCCACCTCGTGTCACCTCAAAATAGGTTTATTAAATCATTCATACCATAAAAAAGTCACCTTCAGACAATAACTATAAAACTCAACCCAAAGATGTTTTTTTCAAGAGGTAACTGGACTTTCTGCTTTTTCTCTGAAGATGTTTCACTTCTCATCCCAAGAAGCTTCTTCAGCTCTGACTGGATGGTGGGGAGGATTTATACTCCTTGCAGACAGTCAGAAACTCCAGTTGCCTCTTCAAAAAGCACCTTTGGGACAACCATGACCTGGATGGAGAATCTCCGTAGACATATTACTCATTATTCTGGTCACATTTATAACACCTTACGTCTTCCCTATACCAGGGTTTCTCAACCTTGGCGATTTGAAGTCCTGTAGACTTCAACTCCCAGAATCCCCCAGCCAGCAGAGCTGGCTGGGGGAATTCTGGGAGTTGAAGTCCACGGGACTTAAAGTCGCCAAGGTTGAGAAACACTGCCCTATACAGTACTTCATGGACAATAATTTCTAAACGCAGGGAAGTACATCCCACTAAGCTTTATGGGACTTCTATGATGATAATGATAACAACTCAAAATCTGCCTCTTAACTCTCCAAAGCATCATCTTCTACCCAGTTTCGCTAACAGCTCGTCTGCATGCATACCCTAAAATTACTGTTTTCCCGTCCCCGACGTCTCCTATTTTTTTCTACTTACCAGTCTGCGGCTCCTCTATTCTGAGGGTTAAGGGCCCCAGTGAGGGTCCGAGCCGAAAGTTTGATGTTTACCATGTAAGGCTGCATGGCCGAGAAGAAAACAAATGGACGAGCGGATTAAAACGGCCAACGGGTGAAATCCAGGAAACGCACCTTCCTCGGTTGGGGGCGCCGTTAATCCTTGTCCCTAATTGGTCCGACTTGCCCCGCTCGCTCCAGAACTTTGGTTCCGCCGGCGCTTACAAAAACGAAACCAAACGAAAAACGAAACCAGCGAGAGGCAGTCCGGGCTCCTGAATCCATTCTTTTGCGCATGCTCAGCGAAAGAGCTATTCCCATGTTTTGTAATTATTATTTTTTGTTTCTTGTTGATGAATTGTGCTTATGCCGTCAAAGGATAAACTTTGCTTTCCGTTATTCAGGGAAGGGGGGGGGATACATGATTTGCCACACCTGTACCATTAAGATTGTTGTTTCTGTATTGGGAAAATCCAGGCTGGCAAACAGGCTAAAGTCATATCATGCACAAATTAGAATAAATCCCAATGAACATTTGAATTGTGAGCCGCCCTGAGTACAAATAAAGGAAATTCAAACATATTTCGAAATTAATTAGAACTGTCTTGTTAATTCTTCACCTATGAGAAAAGCAGTGGATTTGCTAGCTATTTTACTAATCCAAACGAATAAACGCAGATTGTCTTCAACAAGTATATATAAAAAGATATGTTTACTGGGTTTCAGCATGATTTCTTTTTCTCCCGAAGGAGAAATATTACTTTTTCTGAAAGCCATTTCTTTTCCAAAAAGGAGTGTAGTTATTACCAATAGAAAGTTCTGTTCTGGTGGAATGCTGCTTAATACAATAAGTGGTTATTTCTATGCTGTTCAATGTGTTTTATCTGTTGTGGTTTCATATTTATGTATGTATGTATCTATACTATATAAATATTTCAAGTAAACTCATAAATTATACAGAACACAATTAGCATTTTCCATCATGAGATAAAGTACAGTAGATGGTGGTGATAGGGCACGACAATATATATTAAAAAGGATCATATTTGTTATTTGGACTCCCTGAATCACAAATCCATCCAATTTATATATTCCACTGATATGTATATTTAAGATTCTTTACATTTTAACACATATTTTATAAAAGAAAGTATGAAATAATTATAAAATAAGTAAAATATTGCACACGAAGAAAAAAGAACGGACTCTTAAGAATTTCCATCTGACAGTAAAAAGAGAAAGATCTTCACATTAAGACTATTATGCAAATGGATGAAAATTTAAGCCCCTGAAATGATTGCTTGCTGAAACAAATGTTGACAAAAAAGCTTGTAAATTCCCACTGGCTTCTAATGCAGCTTGAGATACTGGAGATTCTCACTGTTGCCAAAGCAAAGACAGATTTTTCAAAGCATGAAAATAAATATTTGCTTGGGTGGACTAAATGCATATTTGTGTTTTTAATCAGAAAATGTGTGTTAAAATCTGTTCTTCCATAAGAAGGGTTCACAACTTGTAGTTTCAAGACCACACACAATTCATTTTCACAAACCTTACAATATCCTTGATTATGCCATCCAACCTTGAAGGTGTATTTTAACGTCATGAAAAATGTCATGGGGATAAGATTAATGGTATTTTTAATATTGAAATGACAGTTTTTATTAGTTGAAAATGTTTTTTAAGAATTTAATGTCATGAACATTTCTGCATAGTATCCTTAAAATGCACAATAAGTTCACAGTTGTGAGATGTAAGACCCAAATAGTTTAATCCTCACAATACAGAAACAAGTCTGGTTAAGAATTCAAAGGTTTTGAGGGAAGTTATCATCCAGCCCTCTCCCAAAAAAATGAAATATCCTAGGAAATATTGAAAAGGCAGAATATTTCTCTGGAT